ACCACTTTGAAATCTCGTTGAGATTATTTTGGAGAATAAATTAAGCAGCATTTAGGCTGGCAGTGGAAATTATTTAATTAATTGAGATTGCTTGCAGGAGGGAAATTCTACCTGTATTTTCAAAATGCTTTCAATCCTGATTGGTTTCATGGCCTTCCTAGTTCTGGGCTTTGATGATTGGACTCCATCCTCAGCCATAGCTCTGGGCCTCCTGGGTGTGAATCAGGGCTCCTCACCTCCAGGACTGGTTTGGCCCACACCAGCAGTGCTTGGCCATAGCGCGGGGTGAAAATGTTGGTAGCTTGTGCTCTGCTTTGCCTTTTTCATTCATGTTGAGCAGCCCTTGGTGAGTCACCCTGAGGTTATTGACAGTATTTGTTGAGTTCTCAGTAGCTTGATAGTCATCTGCCATAGTGTGGCCAGCAGGTTGAGGGAGAGGATTCTCCCTCTCTGCTCTGCTCTCGTGAGACCCCACCTGAAGTGCTGCATCCAGCTCTGGAACCCTCAACATCAGAAGGATATCGATCAGTGGGAGCCAGTCCAGAGGAGGCCACGAAGATGCTCAGAGGGCTGCAGCCCCTCTGCTATGGGGACAGGGTGGGAGAGTTGGATTTGTTCAGCCTGGAGAAGAGAAGGCTCCGGGGAGACCTTATAGCACCTTCCAGTACCTGAAGGGGCTACAAGGAAGCTGGGGGGGACTTTTTACAAGGGCCTGTAGTGACAGGACAAGGGGTAACGGGTTTAAATTGAAAGTGGGGAGGTTTAGATTGGATATCAGGAAGAAGTTCTTCATGGTGAGGGTGGGGATAGCTGTAAAAGTTGAGCATAATATTGAACATGGCTTCTTCATATTGCAGAATTGCTCACAGATAAACCACCATTTCAGTTTTTTTCTTGCCAAGCTATTTTTGTAGCCCTAAATACTGTTTCTTTCAGTACATGCTAACAAAAGAATGGCTTTCCTCCATAAAAGACTACAAACTGGTACAGCAGATGCTATTTGTGTCAACATCAGCTGATTTTCTTCTCCATTACCCTTTTTGCTGGATCTTCGCTTATCTAGCAGGTCCTGTCTTCTTGACATCCAATGCCATGTTGAATGTTTTTTCACATTTGGTGTTAGAAAACCTGACTCAGACTTTCTCAAAAATTGGTATTGTCATCCGCATGATGGTCATTATGCATTATTGATAGCGATGGAAAAGTCGCGAACACACAGGCCTTTGCTGCAGGGCCTTAGCCTTTTCCTTTGGTTTAGCATTGCCTTATCTTCTCTCTGCATTTTAGTAATAATGTCAACAGAGACATTTTGTGCTGCCTTCACCATGAAAGAGTAGCAGTACCCTGGGCCTGGTGTTGCAGCCGTAATTATTTTTCCTGATGTACTTTGAGTGGAGTTACGCAGTTTTTTACTTTATCACAGAACTCTAGAAAACATTTCAGTTATCAGAAAGTTATTTTCTAGGGGAACCTAGCTCTTACTGATGCAGAATTAAGAATAAACTATTTTACAGCAAGTACTTTGAAGTTAATAAATAATTAATATAATCTTCCCCACTTTTACAATGTATCTCATAAAATTGGGAAAACAGCATTAAAAAGAAATTCCACTACTGTATTGTGTAGTCAGAAAATAACTTTCTAGGTATGGGCATTAATTCATAAAAATATGAATTATATGTTAACATCATAAACACAAATATATACAGTGTAAACAAACAGTGGAAGACGGAGTAATCTTTGCGTAGGACCCCAGCTTGCCCTCTTCTCAGGTCTGTGAGACACATTTCTGTGGAGGGTGCCAGCAACCCTGCTCCAGGATACAGAAGTTTCTTCCAACTCAATTTAAACTCGCCACTTGCTTTAGCAGTCACGAAGAGCCTTTATTCGGAAGGAATCTAGACTGCTTAACAAATCAACCTGGAGCCTGTGCCCGGAGTTCATGTCTTCTGCCATAAAATGAAAATACTTCTGGAGAGAAACAGGATAATTGCTTAATAGCAAATGCTTTTATAAAATATGCAGAGCAGAGGAGGAGTGATGTGGAGAGGGCTTTATGGGACATGAGTGCATTTCTCTTTAGCTTTCTGGCTCGCCCCGAGGAATGTCCTCAGATCCATTGTACTACTATATGTAGTACCAAAATCCACCCTTGATACTTGAATTGCTCAGTACTGATTCAGGGGGAAAAAAAAAAAGCATTGGATTGATTGAATGAGCTAAATGCAGCTTCCATCAAGGCACAGTGTTTTTTGGTATGTTCAGTAAAAAAATGAAATCCGCTCAATTTACTGTGTGTGTGTTGTAGCCCTCTCAGAACAGATATGACGGCAAACCTGGCAGTTGTCCTCTAATGCTTTCATGACCAAAGCCATCCTACAAGACAGGTTCTTGGGGACACTGCTGCTTTTGTAACTTGCTGAGTCTCCCTTGCTGTAGATGAGGGGAGGAAGCCTCTGGAGAGTTTCTGAGGAGAGCCTTGACTTTGTTACTCCCTCTATCCCCTGAAAACAGCCCAGAATTAGATCTGTAATGGCATGCTGAATAGCTCATCCCTCTTCCTCCGGATTTTGAAGAGGAGACATAATTATGAAGATGGTTAATAGATGGGAAAGGAAGATTGTTTTGTTCTTTACCTTGCCTGATTTTGCGGCAGTTTAGTCATAATAATGAGAGTTTTTGATAAGTGAGCTTCGGATTGAGTCACTGGGATCTCGAGTGAGTAAATAGAGTTTGGTATTAGTCTGAGGAGCTAAGCAGAGCAATCATGCACTGCTCTTGGAAGCTGGCAGGCAGAAAGGGGGAGGCAAGCATCTCTGGAGAGGGGAGAGGATCCTTGGCTCTCGTTCTTGCTGACTGGGGGGAATCACCTTGAAAAGCCCTGGGTCAGCTGATGAGGTGTCCGAGCAACCTCCACGTTCCCTGAAGCCCATGGGAGATGCAAGCACCCAATAGGTTTGAGGGTCAGTACGCCTCATGGTGGCACCTGGGAGTGGGGACACCCAAAAGCAGCGACTGACTGGGAACGTGGTCTCGAGCGGTATTCACGGCACAGCGAGTTGGAGGGGGAAACCTAAGGCGCAGAGCCATGCGTTATCTCCCAGACCCTGCTGGTTCTCATTATAGTCTTTTGCTCATTATGCACAGAGACACAGGGGTAAAAGACTTCAAAATGAGTTCCTTGGTGCATATCATCACAACTCACATTTTAAATTCAGGAGTAGGAAAGTATTCTCTTTGAGACTCAAGATAATTGTTGACAAAGTCATTTGTATTTTTGTTTTTTACTTCAGGTAGAAAAATCCTGGTAACCACGAGTACAGAATAATGAAATAATACACTTTCTCCTGTAATGCCGGAGCCAATAAAAGGCAGCCATTGAGAATAATATCCCAACAGCCAAAGCACTTCATCAATCTCAGCTGCTGTTTCTATGAACATATTGTATAATAATGGGTGTTCTTCTACAAAAAATATAAAGGTCTCTCTCTCCTTCCCCCAGATATCACCAGGGGAAGCCATTAATTCTACTCTAGTGTTAATCTATTCTACCATGATAATATATCCATTAATGGATATCGTACATCCATGAAACCTTCCACCCTCGCACAGAAAGAAATAGCAATTGTTCATTGTTAAAAAGACTCAATGATGCTGGTTTCTTTTATGTAACTGATTATCTGTTTGTCTGACTTTTCCTCCAGGAGGCCAGACTCTGCATGCTGAGACTCCTTTATCTAAGCTGTCCAGAACCTATTTTCCTTGACATTGAAGACATAACTGGCTTCTGACTTTCAGGCTAACCAGGGCTGAGCCCTTGCCAGGCTTAACCCTGTACTACCAGCTGCAAACACCAGCCATGGCTGCGTGGATTAGGGGAGCTAGCCGGGCAACATGCATTCATTCAATTAGTAGCCCATCATGAGTTGGAAAGCGAAAGAAAGCTGCAGATGGGTCCTGGCACTGCAGGGCACAGAGTGAGGAAAGCACGTACTGGGCTTCTGGCAGCAGTAAAACTGCATATTCAGTGATAAAAATCTGACTGAGAGGAAACATCTATAATATTCTTAATAAAATGAATAACACAGTCCATACATCTCTAGGCTATCATTGCAGGTTTTCCTGCCGGTTATGCATATATTTACGTTCAAATCATACGTGCAGAGCTACCTTTACTCAGTAGCATATATACTTTAAGCATGAAAGTTGAGATGGTGGAACGCAGCTCAGCAACAAGGAGTAAATTTACATGTATATGAAATCATACAGTGGACAGGGCCCTACTCGGGATGGTTAAGAAACCTTGTGTAGGTCTTGTGAACTTTGTAGGGTGGGGTGCTGGAATGGAGGTCTTTGAAGGAAAGCCTAGAAAAGGCTACCTAGCTGTCAGCAGGTCTTTGAAATGAGAAACAAATATTAAAAAATGCCTTTATGATAACATACAAACATTTACAAGAATAGGTGTAATTCCTGAATAGCCAGCCAATGGGCCCTCCAGCAACAGGCTGAATCCTGGGCTGCTGTAAATGGACCAACAACCTAGTCTGTCAGCAAACAAGACCTTCCCGTCATCTGCACACATTTTTAGAAAGAATATGAAGTCACTATTCATAATATTTAATTTTGCTGCATTGTTATTAGTTCTGGTTTTTCTATGATTCCACTGTGTCCCTGCTAATTTGCATGTCTATTAATAATATTAATTCTTATTCAAAATCCCATAGAGAAAATAGCAAGTTTGTTAATATCTGTGCAGAGGATTAAGTACGACCTGAAACCCAGAGTCTTTATAAGCACTTCTGTGCCTTTCCACTGCTTTTGCCTTATCATTTCCAACTTAAAAGGCTATTGTTATGACGGCAGGACTGCCAAGTTGTAATGCATGATTTATTATGTACAGCAGGTGACTGGTAGTTAACATTTATCTCAAAATGGACGCTATTGTTTGTTGTGGTTTTTTTTTCCTGCAGCTTTCCCTAGGAGGTTTGTGTTTTTGTCAGCGACAAGATGACAATTCATATTTTTACCAAAGGATCCAGTGAGTCATCCTATTAACTCCGCTGAAATACATGCTTGCCAATCGTCCAGCCACGGTAAGTCTGCGGGATTTTGCATTCTCTCCGGAAATGTTATTCAGGAGTTAGTCCCTAGTATGCATTCAGTGGTACAAATCATCTTTACCTGAAACAGTAACTTCTCAGTGATGACCACAGCCCCAGCAGACCAAATATTGCATATCACATATTTTTTTTTTTTAAGCTATTAAGGTATTTTAGAGCACATGAGAAGAGTGGCTGTGCCTTCTGCCGTGCTATTTACAGGGACTTTGTTTGTTTGAACCTGGAGGCCGTGTAAGAAGGAACCTGGTGTGTTGTGGAACTGATACGAAGGCGTAATGTATCTGGCCTTGCAAATGTTGCCCTGTGAGGGGATCCACATGCAGCTAAGAACGAGTTTACCGTGAGTCATGATGGAAAAATTCGACATCCAAAAGAACCCAAATCTCCAGGATGACATAACATGGATTATGTATTCATTCTGGTTGCCCAAATTAAACTCTTTAGTTATTTTGTCCCTCCTGAGAACTGCCAGCTCATCAAGCCAGTATCCTGTAATGTTCCAGCAGAGGTGTAGGCTACTCAGTTCCTCTTCCCAGCTTTGTGCTATAGCAGAGCGCAGCTGCGCCTGGGTTGTCCAGCTCTGCAAATCGTCTTCGTTTGGGAGAAGGGGCAGTGCAGGCTGATACATCACTCTGTGGCTTTTTCCTACTCCTTGGGTTGTGTAGGAGGAAAGGTAGGACACATTTTTGTTAGCAGTGTCTTTGCTTTCTTTTGTCCTTACTTGTTTTGCCCTTGAAGGTGATACTCCATGACACAGTCCGAGAAAACCGCTTGCTGCTGAGGTGTATTTTGCACACCATGTAACCTTATCTCACAGGAGAAGAGCATATGGCCTTGAGTTATTATTTGTTATTTCAGGTTAACTAGATGGTAACTGTACTGAAAACTTATGGCAGATCATGCGTTATCTCCTGATAACAGGATAAATAAACGGCATCTTCACTGCATGTGTTAACATTAATGGAAGGAAAAACTCATGAAAAACGCTGTCAAACTGGTTTAAATATGTCCCCATTTAGGATGCCCCAGATGCTTTACCGCTTCTACTTGTCTCATACGTGTTTAAATTATGACTGGGACTCCTTCTACATTTGACATTCTTGCCTTCAGAGCTAATGCCAGCTGCAGTCCTTAAGTCAGTGAGCGTGCAAAATACTTAATAGAGAAATGCAGCGTTGAATCAAAATAAAGCTTCAGAAAGATATCATGGAAATGGTTAGTGATGCATATAATGGGTGTGCAGCAAAACCGATGGAGAGAGCCAAGGGGAGGATTGCAGTAGTACTTTGCGCATCTCTGGGGTAACCCCCAAAAGCAGGTCTGCTGCGCCAGCCGACAAGACATTCTGCTTGATCTGTACCAGGTCCCTTCGCAACCGACTTCAAGTGCAAACCGAGTAGAGCGACTTGTAGCATTAAAGTATTACGTGTAATTGTAAAACAGACAAATGCAGGAGCAGAAAAAAGCAAAGCCGAGAGAATCGAGCTAACACAGCTGCACGAAAACTCTTTCAGATGTATTCTGCTTGGGAATGCCAGCACATTGCAAACTGAAGTAACATTATAGAGCGTATAAAAAGAGAATCTTAAACATTTACGGGTAAAATGTGAGCTAAATTTGATGAGGCTGCCCTCTAGATTGTAAGTACCTGTTTCTAGGAAGGTTGTGTGGAACATGAAAGATATCATGGCAGATTTTCTTCACTCAGCTCTAAAGGCAGATCTGCTTTTTTTTTTTTTTTTTTGTGGATGAAGCTGGTGTATGGCAGAGTGCTAAGAGGTGGTTAACTAAATCTTTCATCATCATTGTAAAACCAAACCCACGTTTGACACTGCAGCAGGGCAGACCTAGGGAAGGCTGGGACTGTGGCTGGCAGTGAGTAGGAGCTCTCAAAGTCTGTGTCACATATGTGGCTACCCTAAATGGCGTAACACTGCTGCTGGCAAATGGCAGTGAGATACCACTGCCTCCAGGGATCACTCTCCATTGAAAACATCACCAGTTTCCAAAAAACGAAGCGACTTTTCAGCATCTTATCCCATTAGCCAACCCAAACCCAGCACTTGCTTGTGTTTGGCTTTGTCTGACCACTGCCCTCACGTGCAGTGAGTTGCCTTCCCTTCATCCCTTGATCTCTCGTTTTACACAATGCTTTGACTAATTATAGCACAATACTGCTGCTGATTTATTGTAACTGGGGCTCATTTTCATTAATAATAACTCCTGATGTTAGCCTGAGCGCCTCAGTAAATAAATTTGCCACTGCTTTAAGAAATTAGGTTCCCAGTGACTATAAAATTACCTGGAAATTTTTCATGATGCTAGAGAAGATTAAGGAAAAGAACAAGAGAAAGTCCTTCTAGGAAAGTGTAGGATTATGTACTGGGTTGCAAACAGGAAGCGAATTAGTAAATAATTTTTAAAGAAGTTTATTGGGGTGTATCTGTAAATTAATTATGTTCTTGACAACTTAATTCCTGGTTTTTCCTAGGACATTTTCCTTACTTGTCAAAGTTGAAGGCATAATTTCAGCACAGCATCCTTACTGTTTATCATAAGACATTTCTCAGATATTAATGTTGAGGCTCTGAACTCACAAAGCATCACCAGATTCTCCAGGAATCACTTTAGAGAAATGACATTTTGAGGTACAACTCTTCAACACAAAAGGTATATACTGAGACATTACCTTTTCCTGTAATTTTATAATCTTAGCATATTGCAATAAAATATAAAATAACTAAAACCATGTAGCAATGAAGGAAGGATTTCTAAGCTTATTTAGGGGGACTTCCATCTTCTGACTTTCAAAAAGTGTTGGAAGAGGGTCCCTCTGCTAAAAAAGGGAATTGAATTTCAACATTCCCGTCTCTAAGCCCTTTTACGTCACAGCATTAACCTTGAAAAGCTCTCTCCAAGTTTTGCAGTATCAGGCAAATCACATAACAAACCCCACTGCTTATACAACAGTTCTGACAACTGTAAGTTTGCTAGGAGGTCATCAGATCTGGACGACCATAATGCGACGTATCAATAACACAGATGACAAACATGGCAGAAAAAAGTTTATATAAAAACCTCTCTTCCCAACCTTCTCGCTCCTTCTCACTGTGCTACTTCCAAAATTCCGTAACAGCTGTTTTTTTATGATGAACGTGTACTGGGATGTCATAAAGGCTATGAAGGATGGATTGAAATTTTTCATAATCATTGTTTGTGGTAATAAAGGAATAAGCATAGACTCATAATAGTAAATAGCTAATGGTAAAGTCATAAGCGTGTGAAATAGTCAGTGCTCTGGGTGGCAATTTCTCCCTTTTGGTTCAAATGTCATATCTTCTAAATGCCTGCAGGAATGTGTGTATTTCTGAGGATGTCTGCATACATATATATATTTGCATGTTATGTATATGGAGTTATTTGCTATGTAAACAACGCCAGGAACTACATGGTTGTTCCAGAACTAGAGGGCTGAATCCAACACCCTCACACTATCAATTCAGCGGCAATTAAACACCCAGCATTGGTCCTGATCTGGCCAACTTTGAAAGCATGTGTTTAACTTCAAACATACGGTTAGTCCCGTTTTTCAAATGAGACCAGCAAGGCGCTTGAAATTACATATGCTTTCAGTTAACTTATTTGTGAGCTGCAGCTCTAGTAGAAGTATGTGAAAAATAGCTCTGTTGTATTACCTAGCCATTTGTCAGTTCACAAGTTACTTGAAATTACTAAGATATTCCAGAATGTGGAATCTGAAGGTGAGGGAAGGAAAATAAATGACAATATACATATGTAGTCACTACTAATTAAGAAACAACAGTGTAGATTTTCCAGTAGTGTTATTGCTCAGTATAATTTGACATTATTTTTATTCTTGGGCTTTAGCTGAAAAAATAGGGTTTAGCCATCTGTCTGCAGAAACATCTCTCGATGTTTCAGTAGTACGTTTGCAATGTTGGCAGACAGCCGAAAGTCACTTCTTTCACACGGCTGGTGACTCACTGAGCCGTTTGAGATCACACCTCAACACCACCCAAGTTTCACATCTCCAGTCACTTCTCTTCAGCCCCTCCAAACTCCGGCTTTACATCAGCCCGGCTGGCAGACACCGCTTTGCCTGGGCAGGGGTGCCGCTTGCTGCCTTCTGAGAAACAGCGATCTACCTAAAAGGGATTTCATTGGTTTTCTGTGGAAAATAGTTTCTGAAGTTCAGTGTCGGTATAATTCCCATCCTGTTTGTATGGAGTATTTAAGGAATACAGTGGTCTTCGTTTTTGTATTTTTTAGGTGTCTAGGTAGTGTTTGAACAGCAGTGATCTAAACCCCCTTGCTATGTAACAAATATTGTACTGCAATTATTTAAAAATTATTTCTAGTTTCCCTGAATTCTCTCTGAACTAATCTTGGACAAACCCAACAGAAATATTTTTAAAGCAAGCCGTAGCTAACACATGCGGTGTTAAAGGAGAAAGCAAAATTAGAATGTTTGTTCAGAAAAAAGAAATGCACAGAGTCACAGAGTGGAAGGGGCTGGAAGGGACCTCTAGAGACCATCTAGTCCAACCTCCCTGCCAGAGCAGGATCCCCTAGAGTAGATCACACAGGAACAAGTCCAGGGGCTTTGGAAAGTCTCCAGGGAAGGAGACTCCACCCCCTCTCTGGGCAGCCTGTTCCATGCCCTGGCACCCTCAGAGTGAAGACGACTCCTTTCAGTAATCAAAGTTGGTTTTGGTATCTGCCCCTCCGTCTGTAAACTGTCTAACCAGCAGCTGCCCATGAGTATTGAAGAATGGTATGACAGGGGTCAGCAGTAAACCTTCCTGATTAACCTCTGAGCATTAACTACCTCAAAAGAACTGAGGAAGCATAAGGCAGCAAGAAGGGACATGGCATGAAATGATGCCCATGGATTCTGGAAGGCTTTTAGCCCATTGGTCTGTTTCTGCGCTGTAACACTGACGTCAGTGTTAGGAGACAGTAAGATGAAGATTTTCATCTTTCATTACACCTTGGACACCTAATGCCCAACCATGGTTTTTGTAGTTCCTTAAATGAACTTCTTATTTACTCACTGTAATCACACCTAATTATAGAATTGTATGATTGTATTTGATTATATTCATGCTATATAAAAATAGAATTTTAAAAATAAAACATTCATATTCTCATTACAAAAATTTAATTAAGTTTGCATAGGATCAATTAGAAACATTTTAAAACCAATATTGTGAGGTCTGCACATTTTATCCCCCTCACTGTAAAATTATCCATGCTATGGTCTATCTGATGGCTAAATATGATGATATGAAGACAAGATAGAATTTTAAACTGAGGAATTCCAGAGCCGGAGCTGTATCCCATGTACTCTACAGGTGCTTCTTTCCAGGCTTTCTTGAGAAGTTTTAGAGTATCGGTGCAGACTGGAAGGCGTTTTCTTATCAGTTCTGCAAACTATAACTCGCAGCACCGATACATTAATGTAGGAACACGGTTAATGGTTTAGAAGGAAAAGGGTTTTCCTCAGAAACATTGTGGAAACAGCTTAACAATTAGCAGATATCCAGTTCTTAGGCCGTAACAGGTATTAAAGGATGCATGTGTATAGATGATCCACAGAGACTAAAGTACACCCCAGGCATATGCCTAGATAAACAATGGGCATGTTGCATCATTGCTGCCTTTTGTAAAACCTTCCTGGCCTTTCCGTAGTTTTTACTAAGTCACTGAAGATAGAGGGAGATTTCTAGGCAGGACAGGAAGAACAAATTTGCTCATTTTTCTCATTTTAGCTATTCACAGTGAAATTTATTTGGAGTTTCATTATAACCCCCAAGTTTTTCATGTTGTTAACCTTCCAGTAGTTTTAAATGAAGTCTATATGCTTTACTGCATTTGCTTTGAGTCATGGATTATACAACAGCACGATGATTTCTCAGCAGGATTAAAACCCAAGGACATTATAATTCAATTAAAAGCCTGTGACAAGTGCAGTGGTTGACTCAGACCATTAACTGGGATTGTCTCTCTGTAAAACGACCTGCTTTGTCGCTGCTCCGAGGAAGGAAGATACACGTTTGTGCAACTGAGTGAAATGCCAGGCGCTCTTGTGTTTGAGCAAGTTCTAACATTTGTCTCTCAACTTCTGTGTCTCCCTAGTTATTCAACGGACATCACAATGACTGAGGACTCAGACCACAGGTTCAGTAGTCTCACCTGGGATCAGATTAAAATCCTGGACCAAGTTTTAGCTGAGGTCATACCTATTCATGGGAGAGGAAATTTTCCAACACTGGATGTAAAGCTGAAGGATATTATCCATGTGGTAAAGGAGCAACTCGTTGAAAAGCGAATCAACGTTAGAGATATCCGCCTGAATGGCTCGACGGCCAGTCACATCCTAGTAAAGCAGAATGGAACCAGTTACAAGGACCTAGACATCATTTTTGGGGTAGAACTTCCAAGTGAGCTCGAGTTCCAGGTTGTTAAGGAAGCAGTTCTTAATTGCCTGTTGGACTTCTTGCCAAAATGTGTTAATAAGGAAAAAATCACTGCTCAGACCATGAAAGATGCTTATGTGCAGAAGATGGTCAAAGTCTCCACTGACCATGATCGCTGGAGTCTCATCTCGCTGTCAAACAACAGCGGCAAGAATGTAGAATTAAAGTTCGTCAGCTCGCTCAGACGGCAGTTTGAGTTTAGCGTGGACTCCTTCCAAATCATACTGGACTCCATACTGAATGTTTACAGAGCAGCAGACTCCAAACTGACAGAAGACTCTTACCCCACTGTCATCGCCGAGAGTATGTATGGGAACTTCAATGAAGCAATGAACCACTTAAAATACAAACTGATTTCCACAAGGAACCCGGAGGAAATCCGAGGAGGCGGGCTCCTGAAGTACAGCAATCTCCTGGTTCGCGACTTTAAGCCAGCAGACGAGGCTGAAATTAAATCTCTGGAACGTTACATGTGCTCCAGGTTCTTCATTGATTTTCCAGATGTTGCTGAGCAGCAAAGGAAAATTGAGTCATACCTGCGCAACCACTTCATCGGGGAAGAGAAAAGCAAGTATGACTACTTGATGACTCTGCGTGGAGTTGTAAACAAGAGCACAGTCTGTCTCATGGGGCACGAACGAAGACAAACGCTGAACATGATCACAATTCTGGCTTTAAAAGTACTCGGAGAACAAAATATCATCCCCAACGCGGCCAATGTAACGTGCTATTATCAGCCTGCTCCGTATATCAGTGACAGAAACTTCAGCAATTACTACATTGCTCACGGACAACCACCTGTCATCTACCAGCCATACCCATTTCACATACAAGTGCAAAGCGGCATGGTTTAGGAACACAATCACCTCCTCAGTACTTACACACCTCTCTCTTTCCAGTTCTCTCCATAATAAAGGCCTCATTAAAGCAAGTTTTACCATCCCTTTTGATTTAAGGACATATTTTTGTGCAAGATGCCAAAGTTATTTGGTTGATCAATGTCTCAGTCACCATTAAGTAGACCGTAAAACAAGTGACACAGCTGCCATTCATGAAGTATTTGTATCCCCACGTGTGTTTGGGCTGAACTTTATTTCTTTTTTCCCAATGAAAAGAGAAGGATATAAATTATTATAATTTTATAAAACAAAATGCACTAAGTTCTGGGTTCTAAAAAATTCTTAAGCAACATTTAAACAGTGTAAATGAAAATTTAAACTAATAACATACCTCTCAGTTGAAATGCCTGATTTTAGAAGTGATAGCGTTCTGGGCACATTATAGTAAACCACCCATCAGTTACACCCATGCGGTTCCAGCCACATGTATTTGCAGCAGCTTTTGAAAATACACATTGATGGGCTGTCTGGGTGGTTTGAGCTCGGCTTTACAGGCTCTGGGCTGATCACTCTTCGGGTTCAACTAGAGAGGGGAGGTCCCTCTCCTTGCCAGAGCACTGTCCACTAGTGGTTAGCATGAAACAACCCTACGAAGAGCAGACTCAGCATTTTTTTGTATCCACAATTTCCACTGATCCGAGCGAGAGATTTGGCTGCTTAAGTAATGCAGCATTGGACCCCAGGATCTGCCTCACAGATAGTGAAAGTTGTAAGAGATACAACTGTTTGGATTAAATTGGTCTTGAAAAACACAGTAATAGAATGAGAAAGAAGGTGAAAATTGAGCACATGGGGCTTGCTTTCCATTGTTAAATTGTTATCGATCAGAGATGCTTTAATGCATAATAAACGGAGTCAGGAAAAAAGCCAAAAAACCCAGGGCTGTGTTGTTTTTAGGTGAATTAAAACAAATCCTTGGCAGTGGCATTTGAAAAAAATATGTCATAGTAGCAATGTCCTGCATATTTTTAGATACCTGCTCACATATACCAGTAGCAAGTGAAGATTTCTCTTGTGATCAGGAAGTAAAACATTAGTTACGAGTTTGTGTGTGTGTGTTTACCAAAGATAAGTTTTAAACACGTCACATAAGTGCCTCCCTGTGCCAGTTGCTCCGTGGAAGTTGTAACGCTGTTGGCAGTCATACTACAGAGCTCCTGAATTCCAGAAAGGGAAACGTGTGTCCTTGGTACTCCACCGATGGGTCGGAAGGCGCTCGTAGCGCCGAAGGTCAGAGAGGTGTGCACCGTTTGCTTCAGCATGAGCGGGGTCGGGGCAGATGGACCTAAGGTGTTCTCACCGAAACGCCTCCAGTTTAGACGCTGAATATGGTACGAGAAGGAGTAGGAATGAACAGGAGATTTAGAGTGGCTGCAGTTGGAAACCTGGAACAGCCAACTGGAAATGCAAGCAGTAGAGTTTCTTACATCTGATGGTTATCACGTCACCGCGTCACACTACGAGTTGATTGCTGGAACATCACTGTGTCTCCTCCTTGTCATCTTTAAAAACACTGACTACGTTTTATCTATTTACAACAGGTGTCAGGGCTTGGAAATTTCTGCTACTTGGGAAAGTGGTTGATTTATTTTACGCAGAAATATGCTACATACCACTATTTTAAATCAAATATTTCTAAAGACTGTGAAGTCCTATTGCCAGTGAAATGTAGCTTTCCTTTTTCCCATCATATGCCTGTAAACCAGCTGTTTAAAGGCAACCTCGCTGACCATCATCACTAAAGTCAACCCTTTTCTGTAAAATAGAGTGCAAAAAACAATGTTTCTGCAGCATAAGAAGGGTATACTAATCTACTTGGAAGTTGATTAATTTTGTGATGTCTTTCATGAATATAGTGCTATTGTTTTTGCTGATTTTTCAAGTACATCACATTCCGTGTCTAAAAGCACACTTTATTTCACTTCCACTAGTATCTTTCCATTGGCTAAGCTGTATTTAATAAAATCAGCAATTCTAATTGCTGTGTTATCAAATATGATAGCACTATATTTGCATGTAAGCACTTCTAGGGAATCTCCCCTGCCAGAAGCAAAATGGAGTGAAACATGGTGGATTTTTTTCTTTTAACTGAACTGTTTAGGTTACAAAGGGAACCTTTAAATTTATTTTGGTATTTGCCAAATTAAATAGCACTGTGAAATTCTGTAAGGGCCTTATGTAGGTTATGTCCCTGCTAACACTTGTGCTTCGACACTCGGCCCATGTGATCTGCAGGGCAGAAGAAGAGCGGACAGCTGGACTGGGCACAGCTGAGACTTTCCAACAAATCTGTGGGAGTTAGGCATCCAAATGCTCTGAGTTTCAGGAGGAACTGGGCTCCTAAACTCCCTAAGTTTGCTTGAAAATCTCAGTCCGTCTGCATTGGCCTGTGACCTTAATGTAATGTAGGCACATCACTTACCACTCTTCCGCTCCTGGTTTCCTTGCTTGCTGGGTGGAGAAATGGGTTGATCTTCTCAAGAACCAGGAAACAGGTCAGCCAAGAAAGAGTATTTTCAACACGTCATGCCTAGCCAGTGAGCCATTGCCTGGAGAAATACTTCAGAAAGCTGTTTTTTTTAACCAACAAGTAGAAACATGTATCACCCTCTCTAAAGGACTATAGCTATTTTTTGAATCAGACATGGTGAAAAGTACCAGGAATGGTGAACTAGCTCTGGATTTGTATAAACCAGGCTGTCTGCTTGTACAGCAACAGTCTGCTGGTATATATATATTTAATTCTGTCACGTCTCTGTTTATACGTCCGGGTTAGATAAGGACTCAGACAAAGCCCACGGAGTTAGTGGGAAGAGTCCACCTAACTCTAACGGGCTTTGTGTGAGACCCCAGAGAAGAGCAAAGGACTTAGGTGAGTACCTAGAGGTAAAGGTACAAAGACACCAATATGCAAAAATGTCTCAGGTATAAACAAACCCTTTAAATTTATTGAAAAGGTCTTGTATTTCTTACCTAGAGGTAGTTCAGTTTTGAAGGTTGAGTGGGGTTTAGGATTTTATATATGCTTACATATATGAAATCTCACACATCTACACATACACAAGCAATTAACAAAATCTGACGGTTTTAAATATTTTCTTCTGAATGTTTTGTTGACACCTGGCAGCAGTATTTGACCTGGAGGGTTTTTTTTTCCCAAGGCAGTAATGATTCTGTAAACTAATATTAAAAACGGGGCGACGTATAGACTGCTGCTTGCAAAACGCTGATATCAATATGTATGATGAAATACTGTAACCTCTTCTCCAGTTGTTACTGATTTTACTGTGTGCAGATATAAATCTACAAAGAATTGAGAGAGTTTTCTCAGTACCAGTCTCCTGACCTACATGTTTACATGAGAATTATATCTTGTTGTTACGATCTGTTCAATAATTATAATACCTGGAAATTGTAATGCTGATTTTATTTAATCACATAAAACTTCTTAAGGTTTACAGCTTAAAGTAATCTAATGTTGTCAGGACCTAAGTGTTAAAGTTTCAAGTGCTTTCCTAAAAAATGTCATTTGAATTTTGTGTTATATTGTAAAAGGTCTATTTGAAGCATATACTTTATGGTCGTTCCTTTAAAATGTAATCGGTGAGCTTTATACTCGACACATTACAAGGGTTCTTGCAGTGGATAAAAGAAATGTAAGATTGTCCTCAGTCGAGATGGTATGTTGCCTGTTGTGTTACACTGAGCCTGCGGATCTGTGAAATAGTGGATCTGGTTCACCACCGCGTCACTTCAGTTGTCTAGCTGTGTAATTTGACTGACGTTGGAGACGTTACACCAACGTAAATTCAGAGTTACACAGGTGTGTATCTGATAGGATTTGTAGAAGTATTCGGAGAAAGGACGGCAGAGAGAGTTTGGCAGGTCAGCATGATTCTTACAGCTTGGTTTTTGTTTGAGATGCTTTTCTATCAAATTAACACATGGAAGGGTCTCCAGGACAAAGCTGTAGCAGATGCAAGAAGAAGTATTTCACTTAATGTGCCATCTGACGCTGTTGAAAAAATACTGTAATGCTAAAAATGTGTAATAACCACACAGATTTGTAGGTCATTAGTCCACAGTGTTGACTAGTGCCTTTGGGTATTGGGGGCGCGATCATTAAACTAATTTTCTTGATTAATGTATGGTTTGCTTGCAATACCGTCATTATTCTGGTTGGACACCAGTCCCAACGTGCAGACTCCCAGCAGCCAACTGGTGAGTTAGAGCTGCGAGAGTGCGAAAGGTTCGGGTACGGTTCGTTAGGTCAACAAACTACCGACTCAGATTCACCCCCGATCCGCTCTCAGACCCAGACTGAAGGGTACAGGACAGCCGGATTCTCACGAGCATCTTTGAATGGCTCGACGCTAGTTGGCGAACAGGCTTGTGTCAAATATTCCCATTTTAAGTGCCTAGATATATATTTATATAATAAAAACATGACTGTCTGCTGGTTAAATAAAATTAATACTTAACTTGACAATTGATTTGACTTTACATGTGCCTAAAAATACATTTTACCTACACTGAATGCACATTCCCGTAAATCTAAACACGCAGCTATCCAGGCGGTGGAACGGCTGTCACGAATGAACGCAGCCAAAGCAAGCGATGCCGGACCAAGGCCAGCGAAACTCCGACAAACTGAGCTTTCAGCTGGGCGACATAACCACATTCATCACGGGTTAATGGTTGCTTACTTGGATTTTCTGGGGTTTGGGCGTTTTTCGGTTGGGTGGGGTTTTTATTTCACGCCTGGGTTTCAGACTCCTGCCTGTTAATTCAATCATATTTTTTAAGAAGGACAAGACAATATTGTTCTTTCTTCCTGGGGGTTTTAGACCCTAGGGACCTTCAGGTGCCTGCAGAGGAGGGGAAGGAACGTGCTGGAGGTTTTACCCCGTGTGAGAGCTGGGCAGTCCCTGACTTGGGTGGTTACTGCCTTCTAGCCCGTTGCGGGGTTGGCTGTGCAGTGCAGAGACCCGCTGCGGTTGGCATCTGGCAAAGCTGCTGCCATTTGAT